AACGAAAAAGAAAATTTTTATTTTCCACCAATATCACCTTATTTATTTACAAATTATGAAAGACCAAGATAAAGTACTGACGATTTTGAGAAGAGATAAGAAATATGGTGGAAAATTGAAGCATAAAATTTAGGAAGAGAGGATGCAAATTGAACGATGAAATAATCATTAAATGATAATTAATACTTATACGATTAAATAAGGAAGCATATATAAAAATTATAGCAATATATGTAATATAGGAGTCCTAAAATAAAGACACACTCATTTTTGTCATAATAATAAGATTAATGAACATAATCCAATGGAATCAAATTAACAATAAAATTTTGACCATTTAACACAACTAAATATAAAATAGAGTATCCACTTTTAAAACTATTTTTCATTCCAAATTTGATCTTTATCCAAAAAATTATTTTCCAGTAGTCCATAAAAGACGTGTTAATTACTATGATAAATATCATATAAAATTCTTCGTTTTCTATTGCATGATTTTTGTCAAAAGAATTATCAAAGTAATAATGCTCAAATTAGATATAAGTTCATGCATTCTTATAAACTTTATTTGAGTTAAATAAATTATGTCCTTAGCCTTTTTATGAACTTTTTCTTTCTACATTCGGGAGAAACAAACACAAATCAAGAAAAAGAATTACCTAAATTTCCATGTTAAAAAAAATTAGAATTTGGTGAGATTTAAACATAAGCCAACATGCAAGATATTAAAATACAATAAGTTTTACCCGTAAAAGGTAACTGTAATTTTTTGTCGAGATAGTTCTTACTAAAATTAGAATATTTAAATTAAATTCATTAGTTTTAAATATAATATTTTATAGATTTATATTCATGTGATTTTCTAAAATATTATGTTCATTTAGGTAGGTACATGTGCAACGCGCATACCCAAAAATTAATAATTAAAAAAGGGGTGATAATAACTTAGAAAAGAATTAGTATAGTGGTACCCATGAGTATGGCGTGATAAGAAAGGAAATTTAGGACGCGGCTTTTCAGGTTTCGGTGTAGAGCACTTAAATTGAAAAAATTGAAGGGAAAATAAGAAAATGTAGGAAAAAAGATAAATTCAAATCCCGACTCGTAAGACTTGCCACGTCACTGGGCTATGCCCCTCTCTTATATAAATATACTAGACTAGATGATGGTAGGCTTGTGGCTAGCTCGGGCCCAATCTCAAAAATGAGTATATTTTACACGTTGTTTTTATAAAAAAGTTCTACTTTTTATGTGATTGATTTCTCATATTCCTAGGTTAGTTTCTTGGGTATTTGATAGTAATATACTCATTTCCAGATCTTATTTAGTTATATTAGATCTACTTTAGTTACAAGTTTTATAGGTAATTAAAGAAGTGCATGTTGACTATTTGTGCTTGAGCTAAGGCATAACATTTATCATTCAGTCATGCGAAGAGAAAACGTTTGAGATTGTGAGATAAAGACCTATGAGACTTTGTATATGGTTATACTGATATGCCATATAATTATTTTGATTAGTAATTGGCATGGCTTAAGATTGAAATCTTCTTTATTGTTCCACACTTCCATTTTAATTTCTCGGCGCCCAGTTTGCTTTTATAAAAAGACGTCTGCTTATTTGTGATGTTATTTAAGATTTCAAATTGTGCTTCTCTTTTTAATTCTTGTCTTTCTGATTCAGCTCCGTACAAATTGTAATTTTGAGCTCAAATAATCTTTCTTTATATGAAAACTTAGTTTTATGATTTTGGACCTCACCTTATTAGACACTACTAAATAGTAAATACTAACCGTTATTGGTGAAAGTTCTGAGGGTTAAAGAAACATAAGGATGTATTTGGTCAAGACGTGGTAGAGAACAACTATCTTATAGTAGAACAATATTTTAGTAAAAAAATACCCTATTAAACAATGCCTTGCATGATTATTTAATTAAATGTGGCATGTGCAAGAACAGTAAAAGATATTGTAAGGACCAAAAGGTTTCCATGTATCAATTATTCAGTGGAAATATCTACAACAGGATTTTCAACATATTAATCTCGGTGGAATGCCTACAACATATTCTCCTAAGTATCAATAATGAACTTCATTCAGTTGCATATTTCTGCCATAAAAGCTTCATCTCAGTTGTTAGCGAATTTTCTAATCAAGCAAGCTTGCGGCCAACATATATTTACATGACGGATAAACAGTTTTTCGGAGAAGAAATTAAAAAGGTGAATGAGCATACTCCAATTTGGCTCCGATTTTAAAAGCTAAATGAATGTATGCATGCATCTCTTTCTGTTAGTATTTTTACTTTCACTCTCATAATTACGTCTTTAGTAATAAATAATTTTGGTTATTTCAAAAAATAAATAGTTGTTATTTTTATTTTACTCTTTTTCAAATTTTATAAAACAAAAATAATTCTTATTTGAGTTACAGAGAAATTGCCATACTAATAAAATCATTTTGACTTGGAGATATAAGTTTAAGGTACTTGTTAAATCTGGCGATTAATGATAATTCAATCACAACGATTAGATCACAAATTTTTGTGTACCATTTTTTTTTTTTGAAATAATTGTACGTAATTGTTGAGTTTTAAATTCAAGAATTTTTAAATTAAAAAAAAAGGAGGGCGCTAGACTAACATAGAAAAGCAATACGCCACTACTATGACATCAGTTGTACAATTTTAAACTGAGTGACCCCACCATAATCAATGAACATGTGCCCTCAAATAAAAAGTGGTGATTCCTTTTTAGTAATTCATAAGGTCCAAATATTAAGGCAGTGAGAACAGCTCTCTTAAGCATGCTAAACCTATGAAATGTCAGAAGTACCCTTAGATGCCAGGCAGACGTATTATCCAGGTGCTTGCTAACTCCCTCTTATAAGAAAGTAGAATATAGATTCCATTTATTCTTTCACACAACATGGTATCATTTATCTTAGTTATGTCCTTAAAATGTTCCCTTAGGTTTTTTCATGAGATAAGCACGTGATATTGCGGGACTCAAACTTAAAATCTCCTCTTTAATATCATGTTGAAGTGTGTGAATTTTTAGACGATCAGGCACACTTCCACAACTTTAAACTAGAAGAGATTTTTTTTATAACAGTACAGATAACAACATTTATCAATACTAGAAAAAAGAGAAAAAATCAGAAACATAATGGGAAAACAGAGAATTCCAGCAGAAAACAGAGAGAACTTAAAAATTACAAAGTGTTTGCTTCATTTTTTTTTAATTAAAACCATCCACCAAGGTTTTTACCTCCCGTGGTGGAGGGGGGTTTGGCATTGACCCTACCTTCAATTAAAATCTCAAAATTTAATACAACAAGAGGAAGACATAATACCTTACCTTCGATAATACCAATTAGCCTACCTAGAAAAGTGAAGTGCTTGGATTGGACGCAGCCAATCAATAGTCAAGAGAATAAAACATGTAACAAAGTTGCTATTAGCTAAAGAAGCTATAGTGTTATAACAATAACTGTCATCGAGATTACGACAGCTTAATGAAGTCTTTATTTGGATTAGAGGAGCTAAGTGTACTAGGATCAGCTTGTAGAGTTCTGGATAGAAATATGGCGCTAACATCATGGTGGTTCATAAAATCAACCTCTGTATTTGGCGGCTCTTATTCTAAAACAAGGGAGATTAAACTTATCCATTCACAGAGTGCCTCTGGCATCATTAGGAGATTGACTTTCCTGAACATATAGGATATGCTGGCTGGGGTTGGTAGCATGCTTAACTAAGGCATCTGCCACCATATTCCCTTCTCTAAAATAGTAAGAATTTTGTATGTTGTGACTTCTTACCACTATCTTGATCTCTTCAATATCATTGTAAAGATTCCAAGGAGAGTTAACTTTCCCTGAATCATATGAACTTCTAGTAAGGAATCTAATTTAAGGCTAAAATTAAAGATGTTGTTCGCACAACACCATTCTACACCAAAAAAAGCAGCTTGTACCTCTGAAAAATTGTTAGTTGAGAATTGAATGGGTTTGGCAAAGGCCATAACTATATCTCCGTTTCTTCTCCTAACAATTCCACCTGCCCCAACTTTAGCCACGTTAATCTTGTTGTTGCTGTCTGTATTGAGAATGAAAGAGTTGTCGAGGGGGCTATTCCACTGTATCATTCTGCTGGTGAGCCTTGGCTTGTAATTGAGTGCTAAATTGCACACTTTGTTCCAATCCCAAAAGCTATCTATGTTCCTTAATTTTGTCTTTTAACTTTTTAATTTGGTGCTTCCCAATTTTAAATTAGTATAGATAATCAATATTTTTATTTTTAAGAACATTTAATATCGAAGAGTAAAATGGGAAAAAAGCAATTAATTATACCTTAATTTTCTAAACAATAATTATTATGGACTAAATGTATTTAGTAACCGCAACAACCTACCATAACAGTGGCGGAGCCATATTGAACCAAGAGGTGTCGAGCGATACCTCTTCGTCGGAAATTATACTATATTGCTAGATAAATTTTTTTTATTTTATATATATTTATTATACGTTAACTTCCATTAATTTTTTGATATATCTAATTATTTATATTTTGATACCTCTTAATAAAAATTCTAGCTCCGCCACGGTAGAGAGTACTCAATAATGAGACGGAAAACGCCATCCTTTCCCTTTTAAGCCTTAATTAAAATAGAAGAGGAGAAAAGAACGTTGTCTTTTTCGAGCTATGTTTGCAAGTGTCAAATTGATGAAAGCTCGTGGAAGTGTTCTAGAAACCTCCACGAATCCAACGTATACGCTCTTACAATTCCTATTCACACGCGTCAGCAATAACCAAATGCTGACTTCAAATTATGAATTTCCATCTCACCACATCCTCCACTTGTAAACTAACTGTATTTCTTTGACTAACTTTTTTTCGTTTGACTAACTTAACCATCACGTTATCAGAAACGTGCAAGCTTGGGCTCAAACCTATATATAGGTGAAGCAAAACAACCCAAGTGTATCATAAACCTCTTACTTCTAATTAAGTTCTCACATTTCTCTCAAAGTTCCAAACTTAGTATACAAAAAGAAATCTTTGTATCTTCATTCTTGATTCCATCAATATGACAGCCATTAAAAGAAGCAGAGAAGACGATATGCAAGTGGAAGCAGAAGCCATGGCTAACTGCGCCTTAATGCTATTGTCTCGTTTAAACAACAACAACACAACTTCAACAGATCGAGATTATGACAATGGTTTCGAATGCAAGACTTGCAATAAACGGTTCCCATCTTTTCAAGCGCTCGGCGGCCACCGTGCAAGTCATAAACGGCCAAAATTACTCGCCGGAGCCGGAGAGTTTCTTGTGCAATCCAAAAAGAATAAAATGCATGAATGTTCTATTTGTGGTATGGAGTTCTCTTTGGGTCAAGCCTTAGGTGGACACATGAGGCGTCATCGTGATGAAATCAATAAAACCTCGACGGTAGCCGGAAAGACGATGATTCCGGTCGTCGGAAAGAAGATAATACCGGTGTTGAAGAAGTCAAATAGCAGCAAGAGAATTTTCTGTGGCTTGGACTTGAACTTAACCCCTGATATAGATGTTGATTTGAAGCTATGGCCGACGGCACCCGTTTCATCTCCGATTTTGCGATGTTTTTTTTAAGTCCCCTCCATTGTTGTTCTTGTAGGATTAGGAGAAGCTAAGATGTAGTTGATTTGTTAATTCTTTTTGAGATGTACCCTTTGTATATTTCCTTATTTCCATTGATTCTTTCACATAACATGTATCAAAACATAAATTTATTTATCATTTATCTATTTATTTATGTCCTTAATGTTCCCTCACGTATCAATCTGATTCTTTTTCCATAAAGCAAGTACGTGGTACTATTTGTTTATATGATATAGCAAGAACTCAAAACCTTTTTGATATCATATTAAAGTGTGCGTTTTGGATGAGGTGGTCGCGCAGACTTCCATTTATAGCTTCAAACTAGAAAAGATTTTTATTACAATAGTAAGGATATATAACTAGTAGAAAGAAATTTCACCAAAAAATGAATTAACTAGTTATCAATAACTTCAAGGAAAGATAAAAAGTTAGGAAAAGCCAAAGAATTGTTCCAACTCTGATAAATCTTGGGGAGGTGAATGCTTCAGGAGCTATGATAGCGACAGAAGCAAAAGGGCTAAGCTGACATATTCCAGCAGAAAATAAAGAGATTTCAAAAATCAGAAAGTCGTGTGTTTTTCATTGGCTTCCTATAGCAAGAGATCACATAAGGTTTTTGTTATTTATTTTTTATTGGTTACATTATTTAGTTCATATGATCTTTATTTATACACAATAACTTAGTTCATATGATCTTTATTTATACACAATAACTGCACCTAATCAACTTATACTATCCCACATTAGGGAAATTTAAAAAATTCTCAACTGCTAATTAACTGAATATTGTTTCGTTTTATTTATTTGTTGCAACCCTTTTTGTCAAGCGTATGAAAGCTGTGTTGGGGAAGTGTTCTAGAAACCTCAACGAAATAAACCTGAAAATATTCCCACTCGCATCAATTACTCAAACGCGGCAAGTCAGCAATCTCAACTGCTCAATTCAAACTTATATTTCTTTATATATATATATCTGTTAGTAAACTGTATTTATAAAATAATTTTGGAGAACAAAACAACGTATAAACAGTAATGTAGAAGAAGTAGAAATTAATCCGAGCCCATTGAATTCACAGTGTTTCCCTAAGGAACTTAATCCCTCCTGGTACATGAGGTTGTGGATTATTTTCTCCCAGGATAGAACGGATTATACACTGGTATAGCGGTGCTTCAAACACCAGTATTTCAACGAACACAAATGGCGGCAGCAAATCACACTTACATTGTTTGTTTTATAAGAAAATAATCCAGAAAGGAAGAGGAGAATTCAGAAATTTCGTAAGCAAAATCTGAGGGAATGGTCTGCTATTATAGCCAACGTGTTGAGTTCAAACAAAGAGGTGCAATTCTTCAGAATATCTGTTATGATTGTTCACGTAAAACAGCCATTACGTAAATGACTATTTACGCAAAATAAAACGGGAAATCAAAACGCAGAAGAAAATTAATTTACCGTTAAAAATAGCTAATTTGGATTAAAATAATATTAAGTTAATTTTAATATTAACAAATAAATTTGATCCAAAAAATTAATCATTTGACCAAATCCAAATCCATATCTGAAGTCGAAGCTGAAGCCGAGTCGAGCGAGCGATGACGACGACGGCGCGAGGCTTGCCTTCTTCTTAACTCTTTAAGAGCTAGAAGATGAGTAATTATATATATACCCATCAAAAGTCTTTTCTTCCTCCAATATGGGACAATGTCCCTTTGTCAAGGAGGAAAAATCAAATTTATATTTTCCCCTCCATTTCCCATTCACCCTCTTTTAAGCTAAATTAAGCTTAAAACCCAACAACCCCCCACATGAATGGGGAATGGCTATATCACGGAAATATGCATGAAAAAACATGTGATTCGCAAGCAAGGATTAATCGCATCTGGATAATTAGGTTTCCCTTTGAACTTTCCGTAGTGAACTTATGTTGGATATACTCGATCAATCGGTAGATTTGATATATTTGAACCGTCGAACTTTTGTGTATACCTAGACAACCATAAGTTACACAATCAATCCTTAACTGTCTTTGGTTTTCATTGTTGTGTTCGTTTCAGCCATGAACACCGCTTAGTTTCATAAGTGCGTAGAGAACTGGCCTTACAAAATTCTCCTTGAAACGACTAACACTTCACACTTACATAGGTGATTCCTAAACATGTCATCCCGTAGATACACTATTTGATACACCCCGTATCAAATTTAAAAACTATTAAAAAGCCTTAATGCTTTATCTTTGGTACTAAACATTGTCTCATCATGAGAATGGACCAAAATTTTAGTTGACAATGTTGAACCGTCATTAATGACTTTGTTTGATCTCCTTGAACCTAGATCTTGGGATCTCCAATCTTCTAGGTAGAGTTACCACCACAATGACTTGTCCTCAGCCATAGTCTCATTCCCCTCGATGATTTCTCAACTACCTCTCTAGTTAGGCCTTTCGTAAGTGGATCCAATACATTATCGCTTGACTTTACGTAGTCAATCGTGATAATTCCTCTAGAAAGTAGCTTCCTAACGGTTTTATAGCATCATCGTATGTGACGAGATTTACCTTTATACATAACGCTCCCAGCCCTTCCAATTGCCACTTGAATATTGCAATGTATACATATTCGGGCTAATGGTTTGGGCCAAAATGGAATATCTTCCAAAAAATTTTGAAGTCATTCAGCTTCTTCACCGGCTTTATCTAAGGCTATGAGTTACCTGAATTATTTCTATTATTATTGTTGTTACTAATATTGCGTACAGGTTAATGTAAGTGACCCGCCTTAGCCTCGTCACTACTTCGTCGATGTTAGGCTCAGCACTTACCAGTACATGGGGTCGATTGTACTGATACTACACTCTGCACTTCTTGTGCAGATTTTGGAGTTGGTGCCATC